TGAAAAAATTAAAATATAATAAATTAAAATATAATAAATTAAATTAAAGAATTTAATTCTTTGTTAAAAATTATAAAAGTGGATAAAATAAAAATAAATAGAAATACAAGTTTTAATAAAATTGCTTTCGAGAGAGTATTCGTTTCTAAAAATATCATCAGAATGTATTCCAATGTAAAGTTTCGTAATTTACTCCACAGTTCTTTATCACTAAGGATCTAAGTGGCTATGCGTAAAACGTTTGTATAATTGAACGAAGCAAAGTGTGAAATTGTCGGTGATAATTTAAACGGATGAGAAGTCGTAACGCGTTCAGCAGTAAAACATTGAAATTCCACGCCTCAAAAAGAAACATGTGTTATCTTAGTCAAATTAATCTCACAGTTATGAAATTTATTTAAAAATATTAATGGTATTTCAGCGTATAACTGTTAATACGTTTCTTTTTCAAGAAATTTAAACTAATGAGTATATATTTAAATTTGTTAAACTTTATAAAGATATGATTTATCTATTTTTTTCTTAAGACTTTTAAAATTTAAATTTCTTAAAAATATTTCTTAAAAATATTTTTAAAAAATTTGTTCTTTGTTTGCCGAAATAGTAAAAAATTATGGATATTATTCTTTCGTATATTATTCTTATTAATTAGTGTGATTCAGCTTGATACTGTTTGTAACATTTCAATGTAAACTTGTGTTATATTTGTTTATAATCTGAAGTCTTTATCTTTAATCATATCATAAGTTCTGAAAAAAATTATTTAATATTTTATTTATAATATTTATTATTTATAATTATTTTAAATAAAGATATATAGTGCAATTAAATTAAAAACTGAAAATTAAATTTTTATTTCACAGTTAATTTCGTTTTCAAATAAATTTTGCCAAATTACTTTGTTTAAACTATCATTTACCGAATTTTTAGTAAAAACAATGTATAATACAAATATAAAATAATGCAAATAGTAAATATCTTGTAAATATCGTTTCATTACATTTATCGAATTAAATTTTAATAATGTTCTCAATAAACATCAAGAAAGATTATTCTTAACATAAACTGCACAATGAATATAATTTGCTGCAAAAATAGTGCTTCAGTCTCCATGTATATAAAATTAAATTTATGTGGTTTGTTGTTATATTTTCTGGTAACATTATATATCGTGACGTAATAATACAGAGTTTATAACGTGTCAGATAGCGGTATCTCAGAAAATTAAAACTACTTCTCTCCTACAATAAAGACCAGCGATAAAGTGAAAATTTCTCTCATCCGTTTCTGCACTTATCTCGCACATATTCTACATTTAGCATACTAATAAGATTATCCACGTAATTGTTTCGTATGGGAAAGAATGGCAAATGAATTTTTCTGAAAAATTATTTATAATTTATCTAATATATTTTTATTTAAACTTTTATTTTCGTGAAATCTTCGACATTATTTCTTTTTTTCATGTAATATATATGCAAAATAGGAAGAAAAATAAATCTGGAAAGATGAGAGATAGATTTTCCGTAGAAGGAAGGTAGTTAAACACGGGAAGAGCAATAAGAAACACAGCAGACCCGCATGTGACATTTGAGATACTTTTTCCCTTTCTCCGGCTATCTCTTGTCGTCTTCTCGATGCTTCGATGCCCTCTCGAAAGACTTCAGTAGTTGGTAAGAAGAAGGAAGAGAAAGAGATTGAAACGTCTCCTCCTGGCCAGCTGGTACCACTTCCCTCTTTAATCTCTCCCCGCCTGTCTCGACATGAGGACGAGCTCGATGAGAGACACCGCTACCCTCCTTCCCTACCTTCCTCTTTCTTCTCATCGTTTTCATACTATACAGAATATCGTAGCGTAGACTTTTTGAAAGAGCACAAAGGAATGCTCTCTCTCTCTCTCCCTCTCTCTTTCTCTCTCTCCCTGTGAGCCATTTTGAAATAGCCTAAGAGAACCACGAAAAATGCGTGTTTATTCATCAAAAAGATTTAGTGATATTAACTGCTTTAAATGAACATTCCTAACAATCCTAACAAACGTCTTGGTTTTAATGCACAAGAATATTGTGTAAATTGTTTCCACATTTTTAGAAATTATACCACAAATGCGAATAACAAGTGTAAAAATAATAGAGAGAAAGAGAGATATTATTTAAACAAGTAATTAAAATAGTTTAACGCATGTAAGGACTTGTCTATCGAGTATTCAGTAAGCTAATTTCCCATAACAATCCATCATCGGTACTTAAACCGCCTGTTTAGATAGACAGTGAAGCAAGTAAACTAAAGAAAATGTGTGACGGTACATGAATATAGAAATACAAGATCAAAAACGAAAAGCTTATTGTTTTACGAGCATGAAAGAACGTATAAAACACGTCGTAATAAAACACGTATACAGAGAGTATTACTTATATACAGTAGAGCAAGCGGTACTTTTCAATACCAACAAAGAATGTGATAGTAGCAAAATTTTTCATATTTTTCTAATAATATCAGATGCGTAACATGTGTAATGCAAAGTTTTGTGCAAAAACAAACATTGTTTATATATTTTCAGCATTTTTTGATAAAGAAAAGATCATAAATTCGATATAAAGAAGAAAATTGAAATAACAGTCTAAAAAGATTACATTGCCGAATTTCTCTTCTGGTTAAAACTGTACGCACGTATAAATAAATCTTAAAAAAGATGTCTTTCCCGAAATGAAAGGAAAAGCCGACCACGTTAATTGGTTTGCGACGGAGTCTGTGACGGCAACAAGCCATTAGATGTGTTTTTCTAGGCGCTACCACTTCACATAGAGATAATATTTTGACGATGCGTGGCCGGCGTGTGTGTTTGTGTGAATGTGTAGAACCGCGTACGTCAGTCGGCGTTTAAGCTACCTTGTGCAAACATGAAATTTCGATGGTCAAGTCGCAGCAATAACACTTTCGTACGCAAACAACGCGGAAATCCCGGGCGGGTTACCAAAGTTTGCCCATGCGTAGTCGCATTTAAACCATATTCCTTTTTTTTAATACATCGGCTATCGCTTTCCACACTTGAAAAACGCACCTATGCAAATCCATTAACATCTCTTCATACTCCGAGATTGTTCAGAGCGCGCGCGATATGCGCATCCGTTATACGTTCGATATACGTTCGGCTGAAGAGAAAAGAAAATAAAAGCATGCTCGAGAAATTCTAGGTTCAACGGTACGCTCGAGTTAAAATGGAAAATAGATTATATTACGAATACTGATTAAATACACTAAAAACTTCATAATAATTAAATATATTAAAATTTCTTATAAATTCTCCGAAAAAATAATTTAAATACTAAAAATATCTAAAAACTTAGTTTCAAAAATTATTTAAAAACAGAAAAATACAAAACCCAAATTAGAAATAAAAAGAATATTAAAATTAGAAAAATTAGAAAAATTTTCTTAAACGAGATTAAGATATTATATAACTTATTAAAGAAATTTAATTGTTAGACATGACGTCAACAGAAATATTATAAAATATAGCTTTATAGCTTTGATTGTATCATTGATTTTACACATCTATCAAGTTTCGTCAAACTCAAAATCGGACATTTAACAAGGATTCGTTTGAAAGAAAGAATAGCGAATTGATTTAAATTTCTCGAGCTAAATGTCAAGCTCAATCTCATTCGTAATGTCAAACGAACAGCGACGTCACATATCAATCTCATATACGAGAAAGAAGTATGTAATACTTTCTCCCACCGAGAATGTATCTATCTATATCTACCTATATCTACCTATCTACTCATTGTCAGATATAATCTATCGCACAAATCTCCGATTCGAAATCATCAATATTTCACTTCATATGTCTGTAAAAGAATGTAACGTGCCATTGAATGCATTGTTCGCTATGAATGCGTATATATACATTAGCGACATAGAATAGGATACGTCTTATATCAGACGAATATCGAGTAGTATCAATATATGAAATACCAAGAATCGATACTGAAGACTCGGATTATTCGAAGAAAAGAGCACGTCTGAAACCGGATAAACTCGATAACTCAGACATAAAGCTCTCTTTACCAGTAATATTTATTTGTCCGGACGGCGATATACCGGGTATACTTCCCAGTTTATCGGATCATTCGATGTGTCCGAGATCGGATAATTGTTCCAAGAATAGATTGCGATAATATTGTTCCTTCCCATGCGAGACAATTGCGTAGTAATCTTATTAGGGCGCTAAATCTATGGTATAAGATAAAGTGCAGAAGAAATTTCTGAAGTTAGTATGATATTTTTATTAATATGAATTTTATTAATATGAAAGAATAATGACAGTTTCAATAGCACTTTTCATATAGCTTTACAGTTCCTTACAAAAACAAAGGAAGTTTCGCTTATACTAAAAAATAAAAAATAAAAATAGCCCATGCTAACTTTGCGAATATAGTACGACACTTCCTCTTCTAAAGTACAAGAAAATTATTAGTTCTTTTTTAGCAAATTCCCATTTATATTACTCAAATCTATTCTACCAACATATGTAATAAAAAAAATTCAATAATTTGAAAAAAAAATTCAATAATTATCATAAGCATATATTTAAAAAATTATCAAAGATTTCTTAGATAATAAGTTTAATGTAAAGAAAATTAGCTATAAGCTTAGAATGTTAAGTTTTAGTAATAATTGTGAAAATACAATTAATACTTATTAAATTGTAAATTTTTAATTCAATATCTTACTTTAATATTATAGAAAAATAATGAAAAAAAAACTGACGTTAATTTCTAAATAACGGCAATGATAATGTGTCACTTTTCAAAATTAATAACGGATAACGATAGCTTTTTATAAAACTTTTTACAAGACTTTTATAAAAAGTAACGGTTATGGTAACGTGTTACTTTTCCGAAGTAATGTTTCTGTATATTATATTTTTATAATTTTATTAGTATTAGATATTTGTTGACATATTTGCTAAATTTTTGAAGATTAAAATTAGTACTCACTTTCGACCGCTGTCAAGGAATCTGTCGAATTCCACCGACATCTTGCAACAAAGGGCCCGCCGATTGTGTGAGGATGAACACTTAGTGTTGATCATGTGGCCATCTGAAAGCAAAGGGAGCTGAATGTAGGGTGGGCGTGCAATTAATTAAGAGGTTAATAATCATCCTTGTAAGCTGCTGCTACGGCGGTCTAATTAATTCGGGCTGATGGTTCTCGCTTCTTCAGGAGCGAGAACCATTCTCCTTTCGAGAAGAGGCTGTATCACGATCGATGATATGCACATGGGGTATCCTTTATACCAAACTATCAAATCGAAAATAATTTATTAATCGTACTCGAAGAATTATTTTAAATTAAATTATACATAAAAAGGAAAAAAATTTCGAAGTAAAAATTCATTACCATAACGATCATATTTATTAGTCCGTGCTTTAGTCGTAATGTGACTGACTTACTTGTAACAACATTCAACAAGATTTGAGTCGTTGATACATTACAACATATCAACTAGAACATACATTAAGACATTTGATATTTATATTTATATTTATAATTTAGAATAATACAATTATTATTCTTTTCAATTATTATAAAACATAATAATTATATAATAATTTTATCATAGTAAAAATACAAATATACATCGATAAGTAATAATACTTTGTTCTTAATAAAAAAAATTTGAATAAAAAGTAAGCAAATACTATGTAATTAATAACGTATCAATTTAATTTTTATATAATTTTTATAAATATATAAAAATTTTATATATTGTTTATGGTGTCATTACACGAGATCTCCCGCGTAAGATTGTCGGCATCCACACCTGGATAAATCGCAAAGGATGGATCGAGTTCGAGTCAGGTAGAAATGGTAATGAGAAATGGCCGATGCGGAGGTGCAAACCGGTGCAGAGCGCGTGGTGAGGTCAAATGTCGGACGGTGCCCGAGGGTTCGCGTGCTCATCCCTCCTCCTGCAACCTTCCGCACCCGATATTATCCTCCTCGGGACCTGCGTCCACCCACGCCTCTTCTGCCTCCGCTCGTGACTAATGCGTGGCTCGAGTTATGAGCAAAGCATGAAATAATATCGAGTTTATTATAGGAACGCCTGCGTGTGTTACAGTAATCCGCGCGATTTCATCTTTTTTATACAAGAATACTACGACTGTCGTGCATTCGACACTTTCATCATTTAAATGAATCTTCAATATCATTTCATCTCGCGTGCGAAAGTCTCATAATTGCGATATTTTCCCTTTACAATTGCTTTCTTTCGTTTCTTTTCTTGCATTCGGTCGCGAGAACAGTGTCATTGTCCAGATGACCGAAATAACGAGAACTTGTTTTTCACCTCGTCCACTTGTATCATTCACATTCGCGGTGCATCTTTCTGTCCTTCCTTAGCCATTTCTCATCATCCGCTTTCTCCGCCTGCTCGTCATCTACATCCGCGCCCGAGGGTACAATTGGGCTCCATAGTAGGTTGGCAATGATATCGCCGGTCAGAATACGCCGTAGTTATTATAAACTAACTTTGCAACTAAAGCAAACGATAAACGCGATTATCTTGCAAAAAGAACACGAAAATTTTTGCTTCAATAATAATAAAATCTTGATATGATCATTTATTTTAGAAATGGCTACATTAAATTTCAATAAAATTCTTATTAAATTTTATGTATAACGGAATTAAACACGAAAGAAAATATCTGTCATAATTATGTTTAAATAAATTTTAGTAAAAGGAAAAATATTCCTATTGAAATCAATTAAAAACGAGTGCACTTTTATTTCTTAATGCAGTAATAAATTTTCAAAAAAGAACATTAACAAAGATTAAAAATGTAAACTACAATTAATTTAAACAAATAATTTTTTGTAATTAATTTTAATCTATTTTAATAAACAGTTAATAAAGTTAATTTATTTATTAATCTAATTATAAACATCGAATATTTGTTTCAAGAACCTGATGACGCTTTAACTTTTCACATATAAAGAGGTTATCGGCGCGATTGATTGATCTATTGATCATTGCAGCTCGTGCAACGTACTTGCGTGCGGAGTTTGCAAACCGGTCTAACATGTACCTATGTAGAATATCGTGGAACTTATCGAACAGCTCGCACACGTGCCCTCTGCCTCTTTCGACACATCAATTTCTCTTTATTGGACACTCGGTGTCTCGATCAGTAAGTAATTACCCAATACTGATGTGTTAACATATTCGCATCGCAAATATAATAATTAATAAAACGATAAGATTTTCAAATAAAAAGATATCTTTAAATGAAAACAAAATCAAGTACATAACGAAATAATTTTATCTTTCTCATTTGGAAATACAACAAGCTTATTACACATATTACGTTATACAATTCAAAACGTTGCGTCGCAAAAATAAAAATACAATTAAAGTTAATACAGCACATTAATTTGATTAAAATATTTTCATAAATTTAAAAATTAAAAAAGGTAAAAAAATATGCATTAGCAGAATTTAGTAAATTTTAGTTTACAAATTTATAAAAATTTATAAAATTAATTTAGCTTTTATCTTTTTGTTTGCTTAAAACATTTATTTTATTCAAAAAAACGATAGATATTATGTCTCATAATATTAGATGATGAAATAAAACAAATAAAAATCATATCACACTTTTTCACCGCTCTCGCTTTAGAGGTGCTCCAAGCAATTATCCAAATAAATCACACTTTAATTCGACTTTCTGTACGGATGACCGAGACGCGGATATGACTAAACTTTCGAAATGATTGACGAGCAATTCGGCTCCTACGAATGAACGAAACAAGCTCTTGCACACACGTTCATTTCGCCAGCAATTATCGCATAAATGAGAGCGACCATTAAGCCTGCTGTCGTAATTATCCGTGTCTTACACAGGAAATATACGTATTTCGCTTGGGTTTTTTAATAGAACCATTTATTGAGGAAAATGTTACGTTCTCGTACAGCGACAGATGTTCTCAGAATCTTGAGATGATCAACGTGACAACATTCACCATTATTGCTTATATAAATTTTCCTTTATAAAACTGCAGTCGATGAAGCGGTTATGCATGATATTTGAAAATACAAAATTTCCATATTAATATTACTACAATCGCATTGCAAACTAAGGACAGCAAAAAAAAATTGAAATAAATCGGAATAAATTCTTTATGTGTGGAAAAAATAACGGCGATATTGTCTCTAAAAGGCAATGAAAATAAACAAGAGAAGAGAAAAAAGCATTATATTGAACTTAATATAAATGCAATCTCGATTAGTTGTGCGATGTTATAATTGAAAAATATGTGTAATATTATTATTCTATGTTACTATCAGTATCAAATGTGTATTTTGCTTTGAAATAAGAATTCTCCTATAATTTTATATCGCGTTCTGCAAATGGCAGACAATTTTATATATGAAATGCAATATAATGATTTAATTATATAATTATAATTATATATAAATAATTAAAATAATTATATTATTTCAATTACTCATATAATATGTAATTAATTCTAAATCGATCTCTAGTATCATCTTATGCATTTTATTATTATACTGTAAATCCTAGCAAAACCAAAAATGAAATTATATCATAGCAAATTAAAAGCATCATTACATAACAAAGCAAATTTTTCATTTCTTTAATTAACAATTAATTTATTTATTGTTTCATATCTTGATTGTTTGACTTATTAAAATATTAAACTATACAAATTAAATATACTAAATTTCTTATTAAATTTTTTAACAAGATTAGAAGTCAGGTCATAAAAAAATTGAAATAGATTGCACAACTGAATAATAGTAGATACGAACAATTAAATAATTAAAAAACTCATTTGTAATTATACAAAATTAATTTAATAAAAAATTATTAATAAATACTCACTGGTTTGGTTTTGGAAATAAGGGTCATCTCTGTCGGTGAAGAACCAGGTCTGCAAGAAATAAAAAAAATCATTATATTTTGATTATATATAAACATATATACGCGATCTTTTTCGATTATACCCGATGCGGCGGAATAATCATGCTATGGCACGTACGCATTTGATTGTTTACCGCAGACCATCCAGCCAAACAACACGCATCACGTATCGATCATAAATTTCAATTCCTTTCTTATCCCTTCGAAACGAAATCGCTCCATCCGCGTCAGTGTGTGTTACATGTAATAAATCTTACAACCTTGAAGCACTTCGCACCACTATGATACACTTCTCTTATTTATATTCGCGAGATAGCGAAATCCGAAAACAAATGCCGAAAACAAAAATAGGAAATAGAAACGAAAAAATATCAATATTTTTTTATTAAACACATGTGCAGTATCACAAGATCGACATTCTGTTATTTAAAAATCAAAAGAAAGAACAACCATAATTCTAACTCGTGCTGTCACATATAGAATATTATTTCCGCAAAATGTTATTTAAAATATAATTATCAACATTTTCCAATAACAGTCCATAATAATTAATGATATACAATGCACGTTATAAATTGAAATATTTTCGGAAGAAAATAAATATATATTATACATATATACTATCATAAATATATTCCGTTTTGCTCTAATCTCTGTTTAAAATAAAAATTTCTAGAGTGTATATTCACATGAAATTATGATAAAGTGACATATTTTCAATTAAGGACTATTCAAGTTTCTCGCGTATTTTGTCGCACTAGAAAATTTATCTCAGATCGCCGTGAGTTGAGACTTGAACTTCTCATTTGTATCTGTCGCATCGTACACCCTTCCGTAGCAGTTGCATCTGGACTCGAATGTATTGCAACGTCGTTACGTTACGATCAGTGTACACTGCACGTGTTAAAGTAGTCGCTTATTTTTAGTTCCCAAGAATAGTTCCCTTCAGGAAGTGAACGAGCAAGAATGATCGAAGGAGATGGTACTTCAGACGTCAGAAACATTGTTCCGATGGATTTTCACGTGGCGATATATCGCGTCAGCCACCGGGAAAATACAAAAGAAAAAGGAAAACGCGATGTATTATTTATGTGATATTTGGCTGTATGATTTTATATTCGCAAGTTCCTCTATTTAAAACGGTTTTAAAATTAAACAAATTCCATGAACGCAACTTGTTAGAGAATTTCAACGCAATTACAGCATAATACATCCATGAATTTTATATCAGCCGATATTAGCTCATTTTAATGTACATTGCACATGCCAATATATTCGTTCGCGTTCTGTTTCATTAATTAAAATAGAAATTAAATCGCTTATTTCGAACAAGCTACATAATGCATTGCATAAATAATGCGTAAGTTAATCAATAGCACTATTTCTGAGAGCATAATATTTAATCGACCGCATGTATCGGGATTATGTAAGCTTTAAAGCAGAATTAAATAAATTGCAGTTGCCTCAATAAGAGTTCACCGAGATATCTCGGATGTATAGCTATAGCGGATATCCGCGGCACAACGTGACGAACGTAAAAATAGCGCGAGAGAAAAGGCATTGCAATTGCAACACGTTTATTCGAGGCATGCGGATAGAGA